CGCATATACTGATCTCAAGTTTTACTGAATTTTATATATTACAATTAAAGGGATTTACTGTGAAAGTATAACTCAAATTGAAGGAATGTAATAAATGCAGACATTTCACCTTTGGTTTTTAAGACAAAACAGGGTTCAGGGCCTCTGAATGTTGATGTGCCATTCCAAAATAAGCAACGTCAATTGGAAGGTTATCTTTTAAAAATACTAAACATGTATGTTCTTTTCTAGGGTGTATTTACAGGGTTGTAGGAGCCGGGGGGCACGGGGCAATTTTGGTACCTTTTGGTTACCTTGATATTAACGTTTCTACGTATTGATACATTCCTGACATCTTCTTCCTGGTTAGGAGCCGAATTCAATTTTTGAATGTACTTCGCTCTCATATGTTAACGTTTGAGCGTTCGCGATGAAGAAAAATCCAGAAAAGCGCTTCGGATGCCCAGCATTTTTTAGTGTTAGGCGTAGTATTGAGAGCTCAAAGACATGCATTAACTTGCCCCAAATATTTATTTTGCTAGCTAGAGCCAGGAGACTATAGTCCAGTGGTTGTTATTGAATTTGCCGTCTGTCGTAATTGTTTAGCATGATTTCAGACCATTGGTTTTCTTTCAAATTGTTTCTCATTTTGACATCCCGGTGCCTTTTTAAAAGTGCCAATCTGCCAAAGAATCAGGCAGTGGTGAAAACATGACAAACAAAAACCCACTGAAGTTTACATTAATTTATTTACACACATATAACATTTGTTTCCTTTTCCTGTTCTGGTAATTCAAGATATAATTTGGTTGAAATGCACTAGAAATTAACAATTAAGGGGAGCTAACTCCGTAATTTGCTATCATTCTAACCAAAAGTTATCTAGATATTTCTCGAATTACCAGACACGCAGAAATGAAAGACGTACCATTTCTAACTCAGGATGAGGGTAACTTCAGAATAGGATGGTTAGGTTGGTGGTTTTTTTCCGGGCATGTTTTGATTATTTTCAAAATTGCCCGATTCTTACAAAGACTGGCACTTAATAGCTTACTGTATGGTATGGGTTTAACTTATTGTTGAAGGCTTTATGATGATGGCATCAAGTTGTCCACATCCTTGTACTATACTCTTTGGTGACTGAAAGTTGTCTCATTGACAATTTATTTACATAACAGACGTATTGTATTATATGTATCTGATAATAATGATTACTTCATTACTGGTTATATGAAACGGTTTCAACGTACATGTAGTTGTTTTATTAATAAATCCTTTCCTATTCCAAAGAGCGTGAATCGCTCACATGGCAAAATATGCCATTTTGATTTCTAAACTTTTACGGTCGGTCGTTTCTAAGTCTTGCTTTCCGACTGTTATTGCAATCCTTTGTGTTTGCGTATTTGTAAATCTTATTTAGTGATATTTATGTATATCTTTTATTGGTGATCATTTTTACTGTTTTTAGTTCATACTTATCCATTAAAGTTTAAGAAATAATTGGCAAAGTTATAGATATAAATAAGAAATCGTCATTTACAGGGAAAACATACTACTTGAGTAATCTCAGACCATAGGAGTCTGAAAATTAGGCTAAATTGACTTGTAGATCTTAAGCTGATCGTTTTTACTTTTTTAAAGTTTCTATCTTCTATATTTTTTGACAAAATGCAAAAATATGGGTAACAATCATCACTCGGGGGGAAAATAACTCCTTAAAGAAGTCGATTGACAATTTCTGCCATGTTGACTTCTTTGTAGATCTTATTGTGCTGAACACTTTTGCAACTTTCTGTTCTTCTCAATATATCTTTTATTTCTGCAAAATATGCAAAAATGGGTAAAAACCAACTTTCATGGGCAATAACTCCTATAAGGGATCAATTGATGAGTTGGATCGTTTAACTTGTTTGAACGTCTTATTTTGCTGAACATTTTTGCTATTTACAGTTTCTATATATCATTGTTTATTGCAAAAATGGTGAAAATTAACTTTAAAAGGGCAATAACTCTTGAAATGGTTCAATTGACTATTTCAGCCTTGTTGACTTATTTTTAGATCTTATTTTTCTGAACATTTTTACTAAAAACCATTCCACTCCAAGTTGGTAGATAATGAATAATGTATCTGCACAAAACGCACAAAAAAATAAATGGGAAGACGTCTTTCAATGTCAATAATTCTTATAAGGGTTAAATGAGATGTCGGATTTTTCTGGGAAATAGACCTTGACCTGCTGATCATTTTAATCCTGTCAGTTTTGCTCTAACTTCTTTGGTTTTAGATCATTTCCACCTATGTTCTATTTAAAGCAACATCAGCCATCTTTGTTGATGGGTCAAATCTCCAGATATACTTTGTATTTCCTAATGAACATTCAGGTAAACTTCGGTTGCGTTTGGCCCAGTATTTTCAGAGAAGATGTTTTAAAACTTTACAACAACGGACGGATGACGACAACAGACACCAAGTGATGGCAAAAGCTTTTAGGCCAGTTGAGGAAAAAAAAAGAAAAAAGAAAAAGAGAATATGAATTCCTCAGCTGCAGTAACATCATGACTTCATAAGTCAGTGGTTACAATATTAATGGTTTCTGGATTATCACTAATACGATCCTGAAGTATTCAATACCTACTGAAGGTACCAACACAGAGTTCTCTTATATGGAAGCCATCAGATCTGTGCCAAAATCATGTCAATCTTCTCAACAATCCCTGAAAATAGGGAATTCAGTCTATGGTAGGTTTGAAGAAAAGTGGTTGAGAAACACTAATCAAAAGTTCAATTTCAAGAAAATTTCGGGAAAAAAAGTTTTAACAATTGAAATAGTTGCTAAGAAAGCAATGTAAGCAACAAGGTCCTCTAATGTAAATAAAAACAATATTTAAGATTGTTGATCAATTTTGTATCTATGATAGATTCCAAATTAACAAATTCAGTAGAGGCCCACACAAGGAAAATGCATTAAGCAAACCATAATTTATTGGTATTAGACCAAAACAACTTTGAAAAACACTCAAAACATGCTGAAACTAAACTTGAAAATGAAGGGTTACCAACAGTTAGGGTTGGCATCATAGACTCGGACCTAAAACATCTTATTTCCAAGAATATCATTGACCTACCACTAGTGGTTCCCCATAAACTGACCCAATCACAAACTAATACATGTAAACTAAGCAAAGTTTCAAAGTCAATAGACCTTGACTGAGGGGGCAGGGCTAAATAATCTCCATGGTAATGAGATGTGCCAATGTTAATACAACTGCATACCAAATATCATTGATCTACCACTAGTGGTTCCCCATAAACTGACCTAATCACAAACTAATACATGTAAACTAAGCAAAGTTTCAAAGTCAATAGACCTTGACTGAGGGGGCGGGGCCAAATAATCTCCATGGTAATGAGATGTGCCAATGTTAATACAACTGCATACCAAATATCATTGACCTACCACTAGTGGTTCCCCATAAACTAGACCTAATCACAAACTAATACATTGTTGACGCCGCCGACTACGGAAACAGCATACCTATGTCTCGCTTTTTGACTCAGTCAAGGCGAGACAAAAAACAGGTTACTTAGTGACGCAATGCCTGCCAATATTTTATGGGTATAAAGGCCTACTTACCATCACTTATGTATTTGGCCTCTGAATGATAGAAATTTCTAATTGTAGCCTTCTGAATGGAATGTTGACTTATTTGTAGATCTATGCGACTGCCATACAAGTAAGAGGTTTAGCTAGCTATAAAACCAGGTTTAATTCATAAAATTGAGACTGGAAATGGGGAATATGTCAAAGAGACAACAACCCGACCAAAGAGCAGATAACAGCAGAAGGCCACCAATGGGTCTTCAACGCAGTGAGAAAATCCCGCACTCGGAGATGGTCCTCAGCTGGCCCCTAAATAAAATTCACCATGTTCTACATAAGGAAATGCCTGTACCAAGTCAGGAATATGACAGTTATTTTCAATTCGTTTGATGTGTTTGAGCTTTCAATTTTGCCATTTGATAAAGGACTTTCCGTTTTGAATTTTCCTTAGAGTTCGTTATTTTACTTTTTAGTGGTTTTTTATAGCTTACTATGTGGTTTGGGTTTTGATCATTGTTGAAGGCCGTACGGTTACCTATAGTCGTCAACTTCGATGTCATTTGGTCTCTGGTGGAGAGTTGTCTCATTGGTAATTATACCACATCCATTTATCATTTTTATATTCCATACATGAATCATGCAATTTATGAAACTAAAGGTTCTAAAGAGCCTGTGTCTCTCACCTAGGTCTGTGTGCATCTTCAACAATGGGCAAAAATACAAAAAAATGGTAAAAATCACCATTAAAGAGCAATACCTCCAATAAGGAGCCGACTTACAATTTCGGCCATTTCAAGACATCAGGCAACAATGCAAAAAATAGGTAAAAATCAACATTAAAGGGCAATAACTCCAATAAGGATCAGACTGATGATTTTAGCCATCCTGACTTATTTGTGGATCTTGTCTTGCCGATCCTTTTTGCTGTTTAGTGTTTTTATCTATTTATTACAATTTTCAAGATAATAAGCAAAAATGAAAATAAACTATTGACACAGAGATATGTAGGCTGTCGGCAGAAAATTCAGAAAAAGATAATCTGATGGATAGCAACATTGATTATTAATTCAAAGTCACTGAACCATGGCCTCGTAATAGTCGTCAAACTGATATGTACTGTAGTAATGCAACTTTATAGAAAATATCATTGATCTATCACAAGTGGTTTCTATCAAACTGACTTAAGCAGAAAACTTAACAATTGTTGACGTCTTTGCAGCTGAAAAAGCAACACCGATGTGTCGCCAGGCGAGACAAAAAGTGCATCTTTCATTTGAAAGAAATGTTTGGAAATTTACCTCCCTTGTTTTATGCCATGAATCTTAACAATGGATTTGATGTTTGTTCATCTTGTCAATGTTCAATATTAACAAATAAGAAATAACAAAAACTCATGAAAAGATTTCAGTAAATGGCACATACTATAATACATATTATTAATCATAATATTATACAAATTACAAATCAACACATGCAATAACAATAAGGATACAATATGATTTAATTTGACTTACTCCTTAATACATTTTCTAAGATATTTATAGTTTATATTAAAAACTTTATAGTTTTTATTAACAAGTAAATTATGTGCTAGATACACTCAATCTAACCAAGCAACTGCTAATTTGAATCTGTGCTGAATCTTTCCAATGTTCTGTCCAAATTTGGGATAAACTATCTGCATCAACTTTGTCTAAATTTCTACATGTAAAACTAATAAATTTAAGAGAATAGTCTGACATTAATTTGTCACTGATGGCATCAAGAAACATGGTATCCAATGGTGATATGATGCCACAACCTTCTGCCGTGATCTTCTCCAAGTGTGTGTTGTTTGTCGAGGCCACTTCCAATACTCTTGTCACCACACTATTGTCTAGTTTGGGATTGTCTGAGAGATTTAGTGAGGTGAGACTTTTACCAGCTATTGGAATGCTGAAAGATTAAAAGTAGATTTCAATATGAAAACAAATTCATTTAAAATACATTGAAATTACAAAACAAACTATCAAAATATGCAGATGTCTTCAGGAATGTTAAGTCTGTGTATTGCATGTCAAAAGCAGTACAGCTCAGATTTTCTTTCTTCTTACATTAATATGGTTAAGACTGATTGTAATTGGTTGCTTAATGTCCAGTGGTAAATAGTTCAGGACAGAACAAATCAACATTTAATACAATAGGTAGATCCTGTAATAGAGACCTTTCGAGATAAAGGTCAGGGAAATTTTGACTGCAACTTTAAAATGAGGGTAATTTGGATAGAGACAGAAATTTTGTTATCTTGTTTGTTTTGTTTTTGTACTTGTACTTTTATTTGTTCCTTTCCTATTCTTTTGTTTGTTATACATGTGGTAATTTTATTTCTAATGCTTCTTATGCTTTCATTTTACAGCTGCTGCTTTCTATGCATTTGTCTCTCTTCCCTTTCTTTTGTTGTAATGGAGGTCTCGTGTGGCCAAGTGGTCTTCTACAGTAATCACTAGCCTGTGAACACTGAGGCTGTGAGTTTGAAACCCACTCATGGAAAATGTCTTTGACTACGATCTTAATTGACTAGAATTGCCAGTTTTCCTAAACAAAGGTTGGTGGTTTTCTCTGTCTACTCCAGCTTCTTCACCAATAAAAACTGGCAGCCATAAAATAGCCCAATGTGCAGAAAATAGCATTGAACGGCAAAAATCAATCTTGTTGTGTAAACAATCCCTACTTTATTCTTTCTCTGCATTGTGTCTGTTCTTTCATATATCAATGTGTTTTTGTACACTATCCTAACACTGTTTCTATTTTGGTCCCTTACCTAACAAGGAAGTCTGTATGTTCTGTTGACAAGTGACATCCAGAAAGATTTAAATCTTGGAGGCTACACTTCTCCTGAAATATAATAATTCAAATTCAAACAGCGCGAATAAATGGGATGTAGTGGTTTGCAATACATAATTTATAAATGTCTTATTACACAATAACCACAATCACCACTTCTGTGGCGCCAAACTTAACCAATGCCTATGAACTGCAGTGGCAGATTAAAAGGGAATTCAGGAAGCTGAGTCACCTCCTTAAATGAAGAATCAAATAAGGTTAATGCAACACGAAATATCTAGAATTTTGAATATATATTTCACATCTACTAATTATAAAAAAGAGTGTCTCTCCAATTTTCTGCTAATGATCCACTGTATATGAATTTACCTATCAAATTTTCAATCTCTTGACGGTGTAAATGCATATATGTAAAGTCATTTACATTGATTAAAATTTGGGCAAAACAGATGCAGCATGGATTATCTCCCCTATACCAGTATGAGTAAAAAAAAAGCCTTACCTTTGACAAAAAGTTCTGTATATGTAACAAGAAATAAGATTGTGGTGCAGATGTTAGTGTATTGCCTATGTTTAATGACCACATGGTTGCAGGATTGATGGTCTTTAACAATAATTCTATACCCAGCATACCAAATTGGTTATGAGAGACATCCAAATTCTGCAACTGACAATCTGAAAAAAATAATATCTCATACATATTCATGTTTTAACTTAAAGATTGTACTACCTACAGTCACACAACAAAACCATGAAAAATTGTCAGTCTTACCTTATGATATTCTGCCTATTAACAGTAGCATGAATAATTAATGACATGTTTAATTTCATTTCCACTACACAATTACTTTGCCTTTATACTTTATATGTTCTTGGATGTTTTCAAGAAAAATCATCTCTTGGTGTTCTCAACCTTTTTAAAGACGAAATTGTACATTGCCTTTTATTTTGAGTCAAAACTCTTATTAGGCATTTAGTTTAAAAAGTTCACATCATAATGAGCATTTGTAATAAGTTTCAAGTTGATGTGACCACAACTTTGTGTTGAACTACCTTATTGACAAGATACAGTAAATGAGCTATGTCACAGATTTTGGTAAAATTTTGCATAAAACTTTGGCTCCTTGAACTACAATTGAAAATTAAATAAATGTAGAATGTGTCCATTGGAAACAGATGATGCTCCCGCTTGCATATAACGTTATAAAGGGACATAACTCAGGAATGGTAAAAGTGAAGCAACCCAAATTTGAACTTGATCTGTGTTTTGTGGTAATAAGCATTGTGAAGAAGTTACATAACATTTGGTTGAGGCAAACTAAAGTTAGAAAACGGAAAATTATTCTGGGACATACAGACAGACAAGGGTAACACTTAATGCCCCCTCCGCTGCTGTGGGGGCATAAAAAATAATCCATTTATCTTTTTATTGTTTGAAATATTACAGAATGATTCATGACATGACTTATTGAAAACCTTCAAACATATTTTGTACTTTAATCATTTATTGTCATTAAAAATCATAAAGGACTTTTTAGTAATTTCTTGAAAAATTTGTACCCACTAAAAATCTGTGTTTTAAATTTTTGTTTAAGAATTTGCTTCAGTTTCGTTCCAACAACTAAGCAATGTAGCAGAAGAAGTTAAGACTGTTTTTAAGAAGTATAAACCTTTCATTGAAGACTTACTCAGTAAACTTTCCATCAGGCTAATTCTGTGTTGCTGGAACAGTTTAGCAGTAAAATCACAAGATGATATGGACAATGTGTTCAGCATAGGTAGGTGTGTCACTATACTAGCCAGTGACTGGCAGCTGGAATCTCCTAGAGAATTGTAACTCAGATTCAACTCCATCAAATTCTGAAATCAAAAACATTTTCTTCAATAAATAACAATTTCAAAATACAAGAAGGATTACTACATCATCATTGAAGACATCAAAGTTATAAAGTGTTGAACTTGTTATAAAAAACATGATATCCTTTACAGTAAAATCCACTGATACAGTTCTTTTCAATTGCAAAATGTACTTTTAAACTTATCAGTGGTCTAGTGGTAGTTTGATTGACTCTAAAGAAACCATCAGGATAGTTTAAATTAGGAATTAATCTAAATTTTATCTTGCACATTTTAAATAAAAGAGTTACTACTGCTATATTCAAAACAGTCTATGAAGTTGAGGTTTCATAAGAAAATTAGAAATCTTCTATCTATTTGTGATAATCAGTCACGGTTTGGAAAAAGAGGGGAACATGACGTTTTTTGGCGTTCAACAGTTTTTTAACAAGGATTACACGAGTGATTGATTGTTATTTGTATAAATTCCGTAAACATTCCTTTTGAGGCAGGTAACAACTATTCAGTTTTGGATGATTTTTGTAAAAAAAAAAATTGAAAAGCAGACAGTCAAATATTAATTTTTAGACAATAGTTACTCACTCTCTTCAAATATGGAAATAAACATTAAAACAAGGAATTATTTGAATCTGGATTAATTTTGAATTCTGGAAAACTGATGAGAAATGTATGATGAAAACTAACCCAACTATGGAGGGTTAGCCATGCACACATGGCTAATGTTCAGATTACTTTCACTGATATTGCCTGCATGGCTAACCCTCCTAAATTCCAGAATTCTAATTATTCCAGATTCAAATAATTCCTTGTTTTAACTACTTTAGCTGAGCATAATACAATATTTTTTCACTCTTCTTTCAGACAAATGTCAGCGAAAAGGGAAATAATTTTTCAAAATTGGGAACTTTGGAGAAACAAATACTAAAAGCAGTTTACTTGAGTAAAAAAATACGTCATAAAAGATCTTTTGGGAACATTTATTTGTTTTTTTTTCTTATTGATTTAGTACCCATAATCCTTCCTACCTTTAAAACAGGTGTTTCACAGTTCTGTAAGAAATCTGCCAAGGATTTTAGTCCTACTGCTGTTATTTCATTGCATTTAAAGTTCAGTACACACAGGTTTGGTAAGGTATTACAGACTTTCAAGAAACTGTCTAATCCATGGTCTCCCATTCTGTTCCCTGCAGTATTGTATAAAGACTGAATGATATTTCTATGATTTTTTTCTATGACAAGCTACCAGAAATAGTATGCACAAAAGTCATTCTATCTAGTAATATTAACTCAGAAAATAAATAATTTATTTCAAATGAAAACTCCATCTTTGTCTGTTTGTTGATTATGACCGATGTCAATTTTAATTGTATTGCAACACTACATTTACTTAATACCAATGATTTTATTAATGATTAATCCAGCAAGCAAGTTGACATAACTGATGACTTACATACTCGAGACTTGAAAGCAGGGCTTCCAAAACGGTCATATATTCCGGACATTTGTATAATGTCCGGTAAAAGTCCGGCTGGGCAAAGCATGAAACTGACATCTACTTTTTATTTTTCAAGGCTTAAGAGACGGTCATTTTAACATAATTCGCGATCTTTTTGATCCAACCTTTTGCCTTTAACAGCCACACATTTCCGGTCATAAAAGTGACATGATCATTAAGTACTATCAAAACAACCCCTACTTTAATACCTTCTCATTTTAATCAAGGCTAATTAGTTGTCGAACAGCTGAAATTTACCTGTTCAGGTGACAGGTAAACTATTTTGAACCGGACATTGATCGGTCTATTTAAAGTTATTTTCTTACATTTCAGCGGTTTGCATCTAATTAATTTAGTTAAAAGATTTAAATTATCAGAAATACGTTTACAAATATGATTTGATGAAAAAATTAAAAAAGTGAAAATGAAAAATCGTCATAACCACGTTGTTTGAACCAGAGACATGTCTCTGTTTGAACTAGTACACATGTGCGCATGTGCGCAGGTGTGAAATTTAATGCATCCTAATTTCTTCAAAAAATGCTTAAATTGTCATTGATACCTTTATCTCACGTTTATTTCGAATATTTTCTTGAAGAAATAACGTAGAAAGAGCTATTTGCACTCATTCATGCTTTGCAAATGTACACGGAATTTACGTATCCGTCTCTGGTCCATGTTTTACCATTGTCAAGATAACATCCGGTTTAGATTTAAAAACGAAAGTAAAGTTTTTGACAACGTTATTTTGCACAAATAAAGAGTCTAAGCAGATATAAGTACGCTGATGTTGCACACTTCGAAAGATGCACTGCCAATTTAACAGTTTACGTCAGAACTTCGAATTTGAATCAAAGAAAGTTTAATATCATTTTTTTTTTAATGTCAATCATTGGGATGGCCAACTCGGCAACTGATTACCATAATTGCCTTTTATTTATTTAGTCTTAAGGGATTAAAATCGGGATAATATATAAAATGTCCGGCTGGCTAAAAATAATTTTGGAAGCCCTGCTTGAAAGTAACAGCTCAAAAAATATACTGTGAAAGTACTTTTATTCGTGGGTATCAATTTTCGTGGTTTGAGCAAACGTTACATGTACGTGGGTTCTTAAATTCGTGGATGATAGTTTTCCTAAAAAAAAAAAAATTGTGTGAAAAAATTGAGGCCATCAGATACGAAGATTCTTGAAAATGATCATATGTTCACACTACTTGTAGTTCTATAAAGATTTGTGGGACATCGCAAAATAGGGTGTTCCTTTTCATTTGTTCGTCTTGTATTACTGACAACATTCATCAAATTTTTAATTAAATAATTGCTTTCGGAAATAAACTGATTCATGTATGTTTACAAATTGTCTCGATTGAATTAAATAACAAAGTAAACATTTTTATTGTTGTACACAGGTTATCAGAAGTTATGACACTAATCGCAAATGATCAACAGATTAACGATCATCAAAGGTGTTAATAAGGCAATAAACATGTACCTTGAAAAACTCTTTCATGAATAACAAGAGGCTCTCAAGAGCCTGAATCGCTCACCTGTATTTCAGAGGAGAAGATTTTTAAATGTTAGCAAACTTGATGAACAAATTGTGTAAAATTGTCTTTAAAGGGCAATAACTCCTTAAGGGGTCAATTGACAATTTTGGTCATATTAACTTTTTTGTAGATCTTACTTTGCTGAACATTATTGCTGCTTACAGTTTATATATATCTATAATAATATTCAAAATAATAACAAAAAACTGCAAAATTTTGTTAAAACTACCAATTCGGTAGCAGCAACCTAACAATGGGTTGTTCGATTCGTCTGAAAATTTCAGGGCCATTAGATCTTGACCAATTAAACAATTTTACCCCTGTCACATTTGCTCTAAAAGCTTTAGTTTTTGAGATATAAGCCAAAAACTGCATTTGACCCCTATGTTCTATTTTTAGCCATGGCTGCCATGTTTGTCGATGGATCAAAACTTTGGATACAATTTGTAAACTAGATACCCTAAGGAACATTTAGTTAAAGTTTGAAGGTATTTGGCTCTGTACTTTCAGAGGAGAAGATTTTTGAAATAGTTTACGACGACAGACGACGGACGCCAAGTGATGGCATAAGTTCACATGGGGCCCTTTGGGCCCCGGTGAGCTAAAAAGGTACAAATGTACTTTGAATGATAGAATTAATTCGAATGAAATAAATAGCAAGCCAAATATCATTTTTTTTGTATGAAAACTATAAGAAGATAAAATGAACACTTTATCATTGTATATCATCACATGAAGTCTGACTTTCATTGATCCTAACTAATTTTTCACGAGAATTAAAAGGTTAAAAGTCATACAGTTTTAATTTTTTAAAGATCAAATGTGTAAAATCTTCTCTGAAGGTGTACATATATATTTCATAGTACGTTTTCTGATATTCAATGTATTCTCTAGATTATATGCCTGTATAGTCATTGGGATCTTTCCATGTCTTGATCTGGACATCAGTTGTTATATTTCGTTGGACACTTAAATTTGTGGATAAAGCCATCCACGAAAACCACGAAAATTGGTACCCCACGAATAAAAGTACTTCCACAGTAACCTAAGTTTTCACAGTTCATTTGTGCAAATTCACTAGGACACTGAAAGTTTTTAGAACATTAGATATAGTGGCAAACCGCATCAAAGTATGTAAGTTGATGCTGTAAGGGAACAACTCTTTTTATCTTTCCAAAAAAGGCTTACCAGCACAAATTGAAATGCACCTTTCCAAAGTCAGAAACCTTTTCAGCAGCAGTTTCATTTTTTGGATCATTTAGGAATTTGGTGTTGGCAGTTATTTTAATCTTTCATAAATTGTCTCGACACAAAACATTAAAACTAAACATACAGTATACACTTGTCTATCGTTGATCGTCAGATATTAATCTCCTTTTTTATTTGGTCTGATTTGTGTTGGATTCCTTTCTCATCTATGATTACCCCACATAAATTATTATTAATGTTCTATTGATCAAACCCAATCCATGCTGCTACATATATTTCTCACTGAGAGAGTAGATTTTAACAAACAAGGAGATATGTCAATGTTCTATCATTTTAAGAAAAAGCCCATCACAAAGATTTTAAATCAAAATTTAAATTACTTGCCTGGTAAGCAGAGTACTTTGAGTGTATTCTGACATTGCAATGCTCTAAAAACTGTCTGTATCTGTAGAGGTCGTAGGCCAAGGTCTGATATCACCAGTTTCGATGTAGTGTCACATGACTGCAATATTGTCTTTATGTTTCTGTAGCAAACTGTAAAAAAATTTTTACATTTAAATATCAGTACGAAATTAAACAAAATGATGCAGTATGAGCTACTGCTTTCTTATTTATATATACCCCACTCTTGCTTTTGAGTAAAAGGAAATTCATTCATCAAACAATGATGAAGCAGACAACAGAAAGTATATAGATAAATGGATGATTGTACCAGTTTAAAGAATCATCAACACGATCAATTGATTATTAAACCAAAGTTTGGTAGAAGTTAATTCTTTCACATGATATTTCAAATCTTTTTTTTTTTTTTGTTGCCAAATTTTCTTTTTTAAGTTATGGTGGCACGGCAGTCACGTTTTAAGGTAGAAAAGTTACATGTTGCCACATATTGGCATCATGTTCTTTGGAATCTATTAAGTTCAATCCATATCCATCTAGTTGTTTAAAGAAATTGCAAACAGACATCTATCCGGCCTCAGCAATCATTTTCCAAAATATTGAAGACATGCAGTTACTTGTACATCCCCAGACAAATGGAGCTATATATAGATACACTATATATAGAACCCAAGGAAATGAACTTTAAGAAATAAACTGTACTATGAATTTTTATGTTTTGTGGTGTGGATTGATTGAAAAAGATAAACTTTTACAATATACCTTTTATGATAGAATATGTACAAAACTCCCATTTTTGGATAATGCACATATCGATAGTCAACTGATAAAATATATATTAAAATCACTTATTTATTATCTGTGTTAACAGCTGATTTGAATTTTCATGGTTTACATTCTTAACACTTGCAATGTATTTTGTTCTGATTTCAAACCTGAAGGCATTACGTAACCTAAGTCTTGAAACATGGCCATTCAAACCTTAAATAATGTGGATGTTATTAGTCTTTTTTAAGCAATACTTGACGACGACCTCTTCAGTCAAAATATTGGACAGTCCTTTCTGTCTTTTAGCCTTCGTTGTTTTGTGTCTCTTCATGTTCCTTGTTTCACCTTTTATAATCAGGTCTTGTAATTTTGAAAATTTATTACTGGTAAATTTAACTATAGGTACAGTACGCTAAGCAAAGCTCACAAAATGATACTGAAAATTTAGAAGGTTTACACTTAGATAAATATTGTCATATATGAGACTACAAATCAATCTGACCTAAAAGTTATATAAATTATTATCAGAATACACAGAAATGTTTGCACAATAATAGCTCCTTGATAACCCAGTAAAAATATCTGTTTTAGATTAAAAAAAATATATGCATAATACACAGACAAATATTTTAGAACATTTGGAGGTATTTACTACAAACAAGACAAAATGTTTACTTTTGTTATTTTATTGCTTATGAGTCGAATGTCAGGTGGTTTCCTTTTGGATAGTAAGAATTCTTCTTCTCTTGTAGGCCAACCAACATATCTGACAGTTTCAGAATACTATCCTGACAAAAATCAATTTCACCGTGACCTGGAAAACATGCAAAAATTATTACACCAAGAGCAACAAACTTTACACCAAGAGCAAGAAATATTACACCAACAACATGAATCATACCGTGACCAACAAGAGAAGATGATGAACTTATTAACCAATCAGTTACAACAAAAGTTTGACCTAATTGAAAAGAAGCTTGCAGCACAAACATCCAACAATGACACTGAGGTCATTGAAGCACTAATGAAAAAGAACCAGGTACTGGAAAATAAATACAGCACAACTCAAAGGAAGCTGACAGCTAAGGAAAACATGTATAATGAAATAGCAGAAAATTATACCAAGCTTCAGGAAGCCATGGCTACCCAGGATAAAAATACAGCAAATCTGCAACAAGACCTGTGTAGGATTCAGACAAAGTATGATGCAGAAATTAATGTTGCTGTAAATAAAACTCTTGATCTTGAACAAAAAATTAGACAACTTGAACAACTTCAAAGCATCAAGCAATTGCAAACTCTCCAAACACTACAAGGACAAGTTCAAACATTTGATTCGAGAATCAACTTACTGACCAGCCATGAACAAGCATGGAACCAAGATGTTGTAGCTTTATATAATCTGACCACATTATCAAGACATGAACTGGAAAATAAAATGAATAATCAATACAAAACCATTGAAAAGAACCAGAACACTTCAGTATCAATGATCCAACAGAAACAGCACCAAGACTTTCTAGCTTTATATAATCTGACCACATCATCAAGACATGAACTGGAAACTAAAATGAATAATCAATATGAAGCCATTGAAAATAAACAGAAAATGTCTACAGAAATGCTCCAACAGAAACAACTCCAAGATTTCCAAATTTTACGTAATATGACATCTGAGTCAAAGAATGAAATTGAACAATTGGGAAGACATCACAACCTGTCTTTCTCACTTTTTCAGAAAAATCTGGATAAAAAACTACAAAAAGGTAAAGTGCAATATAATTGGAAGGGTTCAATAAGAGAGGAAGGCAGGATGTTAGGGATAATTTGAAAAGTGAATAACATTTTTCAATTGCTTGCAAGTGAGTTATGATATTTCTCCACTAAAAATAATTTAATTTTAGATTTTCAATATGTGAACATAAGAAAGGTTAAAATTAAAAATTTATCTTTCAGCAGAAAAGATATATTGCAACTTATGAGCAAACAGATTTCTTGCAAAAAACGCTATGACAACATAGGACAACAATAACACGTACTGCAAACGATCTAGCACAGTGTTTCCTCCCAAAAAATTAAGCCAGCCTTATATGTTATTTTGTTGCTCCTGTTTTTAATCACTTTCTAGCCAATCAAAGTAAGCAGCAATGAAAAATGAAATTTGCAGGTCGTCCACAAATACTACCATTTTTAAAGCAATATCTACCAACAATGCAACATCAAAATGAACAAACCCCTAAAATCACCAGAATATTGCAACAAAATCTTGTATATGTTTATTTCAATCACTTGACTGAACATTGTATAAAAGCAGTCACCTTGTATGGCAGAAAGTACCATAACCTTTTCATTATTCTTTTCAAAACCAAGATGTTTAATCCTCAAAATAAATGTCTTAAACTTAAATTTCAATTTAACGTCGACTTTTGAATGGGCACATTCCACGTATTATTTTTATTAATTTAAGCCCATGTTTATATGACATTAGTTTTTGTTTTTTATATTCTTTATTTCATCATCACAAGGTGCTCTGGCTTCCTAACCACAAAAAAACTAGCTATGATATAGCCATGAGTGCTGAAAGTGGTGTTAAACACCAACAATCAATCTATCAATCATCATATTGACATTCAACAATTATATGTTTCTTTTCCTGATGAAATGAAATAGAAAATGGTATGCATGGATAATAAGACAATCTCATAAGCTTGCCTTGATATGGATATCAGCCCTTATTCAAATGTATTGTGATGTCATTAGCTAGGCATAATATTGAGATCAGTTCTGGCTTTACACGTGCAGAACTGAATACATTAATATTTCAGGATCTGGCCTGATATGCTATTTTTTACACATATTGATTTCAAATTTACGTTAAGGGGTTATAAAGTTCTTAAAAAAATGAATATATTGTCACTTACTTTTTATACATCATGGTTTACATGGTATATGTAATATATAAGACTATGGAAAAACTGAGAGAACAATAATTTTATATCTTTTGATTCAATAAAACTGACAATGAATTTTAAAATAAACAAATTTAAAATTAAGTTTTGTTGTCCTCATTCTAGTTCAGATTTCTCTTTATGATGTTTGATATTTCAGACACAATTAAAGTGCTAATACATGTAGTTAATAAATATCAAGTTTGACTAAAATATAATAAATCTAAAATAAAGGAATGTCTATGGAAGTACATGTAATGATTTCTTTTCATTTCAGTTGTGGTCACAGGTTGTTCTACTGGGAGTCGTAGTATACCTGCTGGACCACTCAAGTTTCCAGACATTAAAACATCTGTGGGTGTATCCAACCTATCATCATTCCAATCTACAGGGAAATTTACATGCCAAGTTCCTGGATATTATCATATTGTAACAACAATATTGTCTACTGACACCCACGCAAGAATAAGTATCATGAAAAATTCTAACACCATACACTGGCAATATATGACTGGCTATATTAAAGACAACAATTACTACACACCAGGAACTGCTGCTGTGGCTTTAGAATTAAAGACTAATGACAATGTGTGGATTAAACTATATTCTACCTATAATATTTACCAGTCATGTCTTACTATATTTAAAATTAACTAATAAAACATAATTCTAAAGAGTGTGCCTTCTCAAATTATTACTGGTTATGGATTCTGCACATAATGAGGATATGCAACATATATACAGTACAAGTGAAAATTAATAAAAAAAAAAAATTGTCAAAGAATATGAATATGATGATTGAAAATACATTTTTTAAATTTGAATGAAAATAAATTTGAATGAAAGTGGTCACAACTACAATTGCAAGTGATAGGATGAACATTTTCTATTTTGCTAATTTAAATCATTCAGCAAGCTCTCTTGCTTAAGACTCCTACTAATAAATACACAGATTAAATATTTAATTGTCATAAAACAATTGAGTAATACATTATATGTACATAGTATTCACAAAAGGTATTTTTTCTTCTTGTAATAATATTTTTTTTGCCTTAAAGTGGCCTATAGTTGATTGCATCCTCTTCCTTTTATAGTCGCTGGTGGACAGTTGTCTCATTGGCAATCAAACCACATCTCCTTATTTCTATTTTGAGAAAAATTTTGGAACTACACAGATAAGAGTCAAACATTATACTGTACCTCAAATTTTTCTATCATTTCATGATATATTATATGGTTTTTAAATATTTTTTTTTAATTCATCAAGGCCCTTGCCTGGACTGAGAATTTTAGGACTAATAAGACCAAATTGGGAATTTTTGATTGGACTGGTTATCCTAAAATAAACACAGAAACATAGTATAAACATCTTCACAACCACCTCCTCCAGTATATTCATCAGAAAGATCAACCTGGTTT